ACTGGAAACCTGCGCAAGGAGGTGTTTTCACATGTCTCACCACAATAAACTGAGTTTTGCCAGTTTTTATTATGTAACTTTTATATTTTGTATTTTATCCAATGGTAATTTTTTTTCTTTCTTTCTTTCTTTCTGTTGATAACTAACCGTTAAGAACCGAAATAGTCTAGACTGTCAGGCAATAAACTCAGCACTACACAACACGAATATTCTGTGAATTACTTATATTGTAATAAGCTTGTTTTTAGGTAAATAAATAATTAATAATTTATGTACTTGTGAAAAATACACGTTTTATAGAATTTGACGTGTACAAATAAGTGTAGTTTCACTGTGTTCGGCAAATTGCGCTTTAACAGATTAAACCAGGTGTACCATGCTTTTTTTTTAATATCACATGAGCACACATGGATTTAATAAGTACGTCAGTAATTTAATGAGGTGGGTTTTATAAAGAAAGTCTGTTTAATAATAAAAACAGACCTCAAAATTATGCTTATCCACTTTAACTGCCTTCGTTACATCATTATTTATCAATATTATGTAATATATTCAGGGTAACTTCTAAAATACTAACAACAACCCAGAACTAAATTACTAACTACATGAACAATAACTGTTGATACATGACTTTTTAAATTAAAAAAAAAATAAACGTTTAAGTTTTCGTAGTATATCTGACACTTTTTAGATGTGTATTTTGGTAGTAAGGTAAGTTTAAAAGTGCAAGCGTCCTCCGCGACGACCCCCACCCCCGTCCTGCACAGAGTTACCGTTTAGAGTTATTTACTACTCTTATTTTGAAAGCATTATCAGATATATTATTCTAGATAATTGTCTCCGTGGCCGTACGGTTACCATGCTGGACTGCCACGCAGAGGGTTCAATTCCCGGGCCTGGAGAAATATTTGTATGGTCTACATTGGATGTTGTACAGAGTTTCTCTAGCGCAGGGCTATGAGCGTATGCGTTATATATCTTCAAATATTATATTAGATAGGATTTAAAGATGTTTAATAGTTGCTTGTCTCATCCGGGAATCGAACCGACTAAATGCGAAATAAAGAAACAACCTTATTATTATGATACCGATCACAAGTTAACCCTAGTCAACAGCTATTTGAGACGAAACATGATCCACTGATGTTTAGCCGGTTTATAGGTGGGTCAACGGAAGGAGGCGGAGAAATGGAACAAGATGTGTCAATTGTAAAGATATCTGCATAGAGTTCATGCCAATTAAACGTTTGAAATACGTACTACATCAATCGACTGCGTTAGGGTTGTCGAAATGCATAAAATCACCATTTTGATGACAATTTTACAAGTGCTTTGATTTTACATTTATACCAAATAAAACGCGTGTATGTAAGGTTTTTAAAATGAGACTTTTGGCTGGGATCGTCGTTTTTATCCACCCGGTATAACGAATAATAATATATCGCACAGATACCGAAAAAACACACAAATAAAAAAATTTTAATTTTATATTTATACATTATATTATATTTACACAGTTTTATTTTTATTGAACGATAATATGGTAATAAAACTTATTTCTATTATATTTTTAATTTTATTGAGGCAGAACTTATGTTCGCTATAGTATCGATATAATACTCTTAAAATATTTACTGTTATTCCTATTTCATTGGCAATATCCGTAAGTGAGCGCCCCTGCTCTTTCAAAATTATAATTTTATGCTTTTCATGTGAACTTACACGATAAGGCACAATATAATTATTACGAGTATTACTCATGGTGTCCGCAATTAATTTATTTCGATAACTCGGAAAATACTTATATCACTTGCGCTGTACCACATACACAAATGTTATATAGCGTACAGTTCATTTCACTTATGAATGCCAACAAAAAAAATTGAGGGTAGTTTAACCGAATAACACTGACATTGTTGCCGCCCGAGCTAGCTAAATACACACAAAAAGTTTGCAACCGGGACGTATGTTTACATTATATTGTAACTACATTGTGTATACATATTTTTGAAGACGAAGCAAAGATTACTAAAGTGTAACAAATTTCGTAGTTTTAAAAGTGGATACATATTTATGATAAAATGACCATCCAAATTGTTTACATTTTAAATGAAAAAATTATGTATAAATATTTGTGAAAATGATATGGATACATGTATTTAACACCAGGAGTGTATACTTTTCACAGGTTGTAGTTTGTTCACTTTTATTTGAAATAAAAGTATACAATTTTTAAAACGATATCGTGATTACATATTTTTGAAAACAGCACAAGGTTACATATTTTTGAAAATAAGTGAACGTATACATTTTATTGCACGCGACTGTACTTCAAATAGACATATTTGTGTGTCCATTGCACCCGTGGTACAGAGTTTCACAGTGTGTGTGTTATTGAAAGAAAATATATATTGTATCGAAGTTTTCAAATTTAATTACGATAAAAAATTTTCTAACGAATCACTTGCCACATATATCAGAACGTTTGATGAAATCAAAAAACAATAAAAGTGATTATTTTTTCTCCATTAAATTATAATTTAAATGTATCGTATGAAGCTCTGGCCAAGTATACCTAACATAACATTTCATTTGAAAAAAGAATGACTTCAATCGTCTTTTCTTTTCATGAAACGTTCTGGTATAGGTATCCAGTAGTACATACGAACATTATTTATTATTATCTTAGAATAATAACGCATAGAAACCTAATCCGCACACGCTAAGTGAGGCAAACTGAAGCGCGCCAAAAGGGCCTACACGAGCGGGCGGGCCTTCAGTGCTCAAGGTCAACTTGCACCGCGAACAGATCATGAATTTTAGCTAAAAATGACGAAATGTGCGGTAAATGAGTGTAAAAATACGTCAGACAAACATAAAATAGATACTAACATCACATTCCACAAGGAAGTAACGCGTTTCAACTTGTATTTTTATATAAATATTCACTAAAACCGAAAATTAACCTACTACTAAAACTAGCCTACGTGAATTTGATTTTTGCCTCACTTGTGACAGTTCGTTTGATATGAAATTATCATTCTATGCGTAATTATTCTAAGATTATTATCATATTCCACCATTTTTTAGCCGATTTCAAAAAAACGGATTAGGTTATACGTTCGGCTGTATATAATATGTTTACAGATATCTCCGTCAATTGTGAACCGATTTTGAATTTTTTTTTTTTTGCTTGAAAGGGTGCACTCTCGTGGTGGTCCATTGTCACCAACTCAGAATCTGATGAGGGGATCCCGTGCAAATTGGAGGAAATCTTCAAATTTATTCACCATTATATTTATTGTACTCACCAATTTCTCCATCAATTGTGCACCGATTTTGAAAATTCTTCTTTTGTTTGAACGGGTATATTCTCGAGGTCTCGTATTCGATTTGGCTATCACAGATTACTTATTTTTTTTTTTACTTGACATATTACATGTAATTAACAAATCATCGACACCATGAATGACGACCAGAAAAGAAAATATAAAATGTTTGTGGTCGGTTTTTTTTCCAATGAAAAATTCACAATTATTAGCGTTCCATTAAATATCTTTAGAAGTATAAATAAATAGTATTGTTGAAATTTGTTATTATTTTCAATTGCATACAATAACTTGTCAAATGAAACAATAGTTTGTCTATTGTGTTATATTGCCTAACATCCGGCTATCTGTTGTGAAATGACGAATTGATGTCATTTTTAATAAATTTGTATTTAACATTCACGTCGTAAAGATTGAATAAATAGAGCAGGTCGTATTTTTATTTCAACATTTACAAAAAAACAGATTAACAAAATTATTTATAAACAAGCATGAGCAACATATTGGTAAATCCGTGTTTAAATGGACAAAGCATCCCGAAATTAGAATAGTGCAATCTTTTGAGAAAGTGTTTGAATGCCGAAAGGCCATTATTAAATATATCACGATTGCAACTAATTTGATTACAGGGTTTACCACGGAGTTACGTATTAAGTAAATCAAGCTATTTGTGGAAATATTATTTCAAGAACCGTCAGATCCAGGTGTTAAACGCCTACTGACGTATCGTTCGTTTCCTAATTAATGACCTGACTTATAATTTCGGCCAAAACAATTTTTTACATAACTTCTACTTTATATAATAATAAGATATAAGACTGAGATTTCCTAGTATTTTCGAGTAGATGAGTCGTAATTTACTTTTATGACGACGTTTGTTGAGACTATTTCTGTCATCGTTAATTGACAGGGCAGGCTGTATATTTTAATTACTACAAATCGACGTAAAACAGAATTAATCATCTTTTAAAAAATATATTAATTTTGAAAAAAAAAATGTTTAGGGATACAATAGTATTTATTATTCAAAGTCAAATAATGATTTATTTCATAGTTAAAATTTTAGACTTGAAAACGTGATTTTTTAAGCTACTGCTCGTTCACTGTGCTGACTTCCCTGAGAAGAACGAGCAAACTCTAGGAATATACTTTGAATCATATTTGTGTGTAATCTAGACTCATGTCGTCTTTCTCTTTATCTAATACGTAATCTTTAATTTTTTAATAGTATTTTTAAAATTAAAGTACTTCTAATGTAAGTTTTAAACTTAGGAAATCTTTTATTTAAAAGGATTTAAGCATTTTGAAGAACAATTTAGTTTAATTGTATTTAAACCAAAAATAAACATTCAACAGTTGTAGATGGTGAAAGAAATAGTCCATAACTTAATATCATATTAGTTTTACCTATTTTGTGTGTAACATAACTTTGTGTTGCCGTAGTTTGATAAAGAAGTTGGCTAAGTAAATTTTATTACCAAATATTTTTAAGGTCTAATTTATTTAAAACTTGGAAGACAGTTTTTCGTTAAATACAATTGTTTTTACTCACATTTTTTATTTATCTTCTTAGTTAGAAAAAGCTTAAAAACTTAGTTAAAGAAAGCGAAAGTCCGTAGAATAGAAAAAGAAATCAAGAACCTTTGTCAAAATATATATCAAACAAATTACCTAATTCAGTACCCTTCTCGGCTTCTATGTTTTGCGCGATCAGCTCCCGAGTCCTGTGGAACCTCGTGAGGTGCACTCGGGACCTCCCATGCCTTATGAGGGTCCTGCCAGTATGGCGCACGTGTCTTACAAAATCACTCTTAAAATCATATTCACAACGCACCACCGCCACGATGTATATGAAGATTAGTGAACGCATCGTCGCATTTTCGACGTCCGCACCGCGCGACGGCTCGGGACCCACTGAAATCTGGATCGGGGCGCTGAAGTATTTCGTTGAGGGACATTTTGGAAGTGTAATTTGTATGGACAAAAAACCGGGAATAAACCGGGCGTGTATGAAATGACTGATTCGAAACAGGAATACTTCTTTTAGGTAGCGTAGCGCTTCAAGTTGCGTAGCCTCTATTATCTTGGCCTACGCCATAGGCGTAATGGTACGTGTGTAATTGATGTGTTATCTGCTTCCGGAAAAATGCTTATTTGCGTTCTTTCGTGTTACGATGAAGTCGTGAGAAAAATTTTTCGTGACTGTGACACCAAACTAAGTACTTTTGTTCAAGTGTCTCCTCCAGTGCAATGGAACAAGATCCGTGATGATGATGAAGATATGTAGCTTGATGTGCTGCCGCCTGTAAATACAATATGAGCAAAATAATCTAAAATATTATACCAAAAATACTATGAGGATAAAAAACAACTGCATTATTAATTGTTTACAGACACACCACGCTCTATTATATATAAAAAAGGAACAAGTAACGACTCTCTGCCATCGTATGTCATAGCTCCTGCTTTAATGTTTTTGTTGACTTCGTGTACCGATAGGTGTCTAGAATCGTACAGTCTTAGAATTTTATTATACATAAAAGGGAACATAAACGTGGGAAAACGACCCGCAAAAACGGTTCTCGTTGCCTTCACTGGTATAGTAAAAATCCTACGTTTTATTAAAGTTTGGTGATTTGTTGCATTCAATACCGTTTCGTGCATGAAGGTGCGTGTTACCAATTGCACTAAGTACGTACAATCGTCTAACACTCACTAACTGAGTTTCACGGTACAGTTGGATTGTGAGGTACCTAAATGGCTTATTAAGCATTACTTTCAGAATCGCTCTTTGTGCTCGTTCAAGTGGTATAATATGAGTTATTCTTGTTGCGCCCCAAACTTCTAGGCAATATGTAAGTAATGGTGTACAAAGCGACGTGTAGTAATTACGCTAAATAATTGCACGATAATATACTTTAATATCCGCTCACGCGATACAGCAGCCGTAGACGCATACCACACATAGAGGTGCCGGTGATGATTTTATACCGATTTATCGGATATCGAAGTTATAACAGGTAAAAGAATTAATATTAATTGCTATTTCGGTAACTACTCTAGCAAACCATAAAGTTTTTAATGCCTGGGTCTGTCATTTCAAAAAAATAAACAACTTCAAAGTGAGCGGATAGATTGGTTTGTATTTATTTTTAATCTATTTTATTTTCATAATATACAGGTAAGGTACAATAAAAGCTTAAATACTAGCACGTAAAACGGATTAAATTCTATAAATAAAAATGAGTCCCCGCAGGTTACAACCTAATAATTTGAAGCTATGGAAAAGACGGTTGGGAATAATGCCTGTTGTGGAAAGAACATTTAGAATATTATACATTTTCTTGTCGCCAAATTCTAGACACTTCATCCTTGAGCTTTGCGTATTTGCTTACTATTTTATTATTATTATTATTATAATAGCCAAGAACCATACACATCAAATTAGAAACTTCAAATGAAAAACAGCTTTAAGTTACACAAATAGGTACATAGTTTTTTTTTTTCACAAAGGCTTGAAACTTATAATCTCTCTCTTTTTGCATCGAGGGTAATATACAACCACTGCCTAACAATAATAGAGTAATTAATAATTGTAACAAAACTAGTCATGTTATGAATAATGAACGTAATCAATCACGCTTTTACTTAACCTAGTATTTTTATTTTGGTTATCAAACGCAAATCCACGATAAGTCATAGTGCTTGGAATATTTTGGGTAAACAACTTTTAGAGAAATTCGTAGAAATTTTGCTACGAAACCCACACGTTGTCTAAGGAGCCTCTTGTGAACTTCGTAGCATAAAGGGTTCACTGTGTGGGCGTAGCGCGTAGCATTGTTAATTGCAAATACGAAATACGACTTGGATTTTTATAAAGATTTATTTTTTGCGAATATCAAGCAGTGACGTGTAAATCTTAGAACTTCTTAATTAAAAAGAAAAACTTGCAAATTGTTTTTTCGTATAATTCGTTATTCCTACAACTAAGTGATGCAATACATTGCGGTGTTCTGTATATCCTTAATTATACAATAAAGACAGAAATACAAATCATTTATTCGTTGAATATAGAACGCAGTATATAGTGTACAAAGCGTGTGTGCTGCCAAGGAAACCGTGACCCACTCACGCCCCATCCTCATGGCATTGTACTGGCCGTTTTTTTGCGGTGGTGCGTACACTAGATATGAAACCGTTCACACAGTGTTTGTCCCGTACAAAAACGCACACAGCTCTATACGTTTATTGAACACGCAATGGATTTGTCAAGCAAATTGAATAAACTTTAATGTATTCGGGTTGCAATATTAATGCATCTCTTTCACATGGCGCGAAGTCATATGCATTTTGTCGACTAGTCACCAAACAAGCGGCGTTTATTGAAGTATCTTTTGCTTCCAAAAGATGGCACGCATAATTTTATTAATACAAAATTACCGGCGAATTTTCTGTGGACAACGATTTATTGATTGATATCTTTAGTGACTGGAAGAGGCTCCACCTACAAAAGTATAAACTCTTAAATTGATGATAATGATCTTTAGTGAAACAAAGGCCCGTTTTGTGGGACATAACTATGCAATTGTATAATCCAAATACCTTCTGTTCTTCCGGCAGCAAAGGTGTTGGCGTCTTCTATGCTAATATAAAAGTGCAACAAAGCGTTGATACCTTACAGACGTTTTCTCAGTGCCATTGCTGTGAGAATACTGCGGCTATCCGTCTTTTAAACATATGAAAATTATCGTGTGAACACCCCGCTGTCTATCCGTTTATAATCGAATACGTAACGTGCAGGACAACGCCGTGTGAACCAAGATCTCAGCTTCGTTTTGTTTGTGCAATAATACGAGTATGTACAGTCGACGCTCTAAGATACTTGACCTTGACTTGTTCTGAATAGATAAGTCTGAAGAAAAGTGTTAAACAAATTTAATGTTTAACTCGTGAACTGTAAAATTCGTTTTGATATGACTTCCTAATTGCATCATTAGTGAATGACTTTTTAAGAAACTTTTTAAGCCATTTGATCTTTAATGTATAAGCTGGAATTCCTTTATCACTTTTCGATAACTAAGTGACGGGACGAACAAGTCCTGCATCTGATTATAAGCGACACGCCTGTCCATAACAGTTGCAGTTCCACTCAGAACTTGAAATCACAAAAATCTGAGAGGCCTACCCGTTGACAAGTCCCATGTGCCTGCTATTTCACCAGCACCCTTACCCTTCGAAACAGGAACGTAGTAATTCTGACGCTACTGCTTGGTGGCAGAAATAGTAAGGTGGCAGTACTTCCCTGGACGAATTCTTTCACAAGGAGCTCTACTGCTACTAAAATTTTATTTTATTTATTTTAAAATGACTCTCAGATTCAAAAGGTTGGCTAGAAGGTCATGTTTCTTAGGGCAGCAACTGTACATATATATATAAATTAATGCCATATTATTGTATTCACACATATCAATGATGTAACCACAAAAATAAATAACGTAAACATCGAAATCAGGAAAACAGTAATTTTCCACAAACAAAAACTCCGGCACGCGTGAACAATTAGTTCATCATTATTATTTTCAACTAAAACAAATGGTATAATTTCGATTATGGGGCGTAACATTTATGGTAGTAGTTTCTTACCATAAACCTACCTAACCTAGTAGCAGTAGAGCTCCTTGTGAAAGAGTCCGTCCACCTTACCTATTTCTGCTTCCAAGCAGTAATGTGTTCCGTTTTTGAAGGGTAAGCGTGCTGGTAAAATTACAGACACAAGGGACTTGTCAACTTATGTCGCAGGGTGTCTGCGCAGTGGTAGGCCCCTCAGATTTTTGTGATTTAAAATTCTGAGTGGTACTGCAAGTGTTATAGACAGGCGTGTCGCTTGCAATCAGATGCACGACTTGTTCGTCCCGTCACTTGATATTATAAAAAATAAAACAATACCCACAATCCCATAGCCGAGCATTATCCTTATATATATCTTTAAATTTGGAAATCAAAGCTGCGTGACTCCGCTGGCTCGGACACGTGGAGAGAATGTGAGAACAGTCTTATTTGGGACGACCGAAAGGACGCCAACCGGTTGGATATCACTGGTACCGCTGGAGCGACGAAGTCCAGAAAGATCTCAAGGACCTCGGTGTTAGTGGCTAGAAGGAGCAGAATCAGAAGCAGTAAGCAGAATCTGGTGTCGGAGACCAAGACCCACTTTGGATCACTGAGCCACCGAAATAAGTAAGTAAGTAAGTACGAGCGCCTTGTGAAAGAATTCGTCCGAGGAAGTACTGCCACCTTATCTATTTCTGCCGCCGAGCAGTAATGTGAGCCTTACTGAGTTTCGGTTTTGAAGAGTAAGAGTGATGGGTGGTTTTTATGGGAATTATCAACTTACGTCTCTGACTGGCGCAGTGGCAGTACCTCTCAGATCTTTGTGTTTTAAAGCTCTAAATACACTGCAACTTGTATAGACAGGCGTGTCGCTTACCGTCAGGCGTACAACTTGTTCGTCCTCGTTCGTCTCTAAATACTATAAAAAAAATCAACAAATAATAAAATATAATCAGTGATCAAAAAGGCTGGGATCCGAAGTGACAAGAATAAAAGAAGTTGTATGAAAAGGGTAGTTGATGCGTTCCGTGATCTCTGCCTACCCTTCCTGTGGGACTAGAACGTGAGCTTATGTATGTATGTATAATACTAATTATGGGATATTGCACTTGTGGTATCAGTTTCTTATTCTAGCGCCGTTAGTTGAATGGGCACTTCTAACAAAAGTCGGAACCGAGAAAATAATCTTTAAAGAAATTAAATTTAAAAATATCTACGTACTTTTCTCTTACAAATCGGCCTTTTTAACTGATAACGGCA